AAGTTCCTCGGAAAGAATTTATCTCGGAAATTAACAAACGAGCAGATACGCATCAGTTAAATATGAAGCTATATAATAACCTAATCCTACTGATAGTGCTAATGTAGACGTTTTTTAAAACTTGTGAAGATTTGATTGTGGTGTGTTCGACTTTTACTAGCTGGCGAAACAGTATTACAATTATATTATATTATTAAATATATTAGTATTAGGCCTATTACATTTTAAACACTACATTCTTTAACTAGTCCGTTATGGATTTTCAAGAATTAGAAGAATGTATAATAATAGTATTCCAACCACACTATATTTGTCGACGACGCGTTTCATTCAATCCATAACTCTTCAGGCCAGCTGGGATACAACAAATACAGTAGTGGTCGGAATTATATTCATATTAGGATTCTAATATATGAAATTGACACTGTTTTTCCTTATCATTGTCATTGGATTCTTGCATTTGGTAGATTAAATTCTATTACTTATAATTATCAGACAAGCTTTCTTTGTTACTGAATACCTGAGGCGTTTCATTCATTTTTAATCACATCGCTATAAAGTTAAATTCAACACACACCTGAACTGTATATTTATTTATTTGTCGTCAGGTTTATACTCTAGTGACGTCCACGATATAACTATGCCTCCTAAGTGTCCCCGTTGTGGAAAAATTGTTTACTTCAACGAGTTTAAAATGGCAAATAACATGCAGTGGCATGACACGTGCTACACATGCGGTAAGTATTTGTTTTTAACTGGATTACATATTGAACTTCCATAGATTATAAAGAGAAAGTACTTCGACAATTGAAAATAAAAAAATATCCAATATGTAATCCCCCCAATTCGACATCACACTGCTTTGAGGCACCTTATCGGATAATGGAAACATCTAATGTATTTCACCCATTGTTTCCTCATGGAAAGGGATTATTATAAAGAAATGTGCAAAACTTGACAAATTACATACATCACAATAGCTTGTGCACATGGGCAAAACAAAATTAGTCTACAAATGTTTCCACAAAATGGTAATCATTTTAAACATAACGTTATGCATAAAATGTGTACAAATAACATTCATAAGCTACTAAACACTGTTCGTCTCCGATAATGTATTTAGTATCGCCCGGCACCTAGTGACTCATCGGTAAACCTGCAGGCATACGACGCTAAATATTGGGTTTCGATACCCGTGGTGGGCAGAGCACATATAGCCCATTATGGAGCTTTGTGTTTAACTACACTCCTTTAATACTACCATATTTACTGCTAACAGTATATAATTTCACACTTGTTATAACAATGTTATATACAGGCTTAAGATTTGTTAGTTCGTTTACAAATATGACAGCAATCTGACAAAATCATTTTCTGTTATCCTATATGTCATAGAAGTTTTACAGAGAGACAACACTTTCTGATATTTAAATAAGTTCCCAGTGGCTCAGCTTATGTCTCTAAAAACCAGGTTTCGACACTCGTGCTGGCTGTAGTGTGGCTTTGTACTTGGCAGCAAATAAATAAATATAATAATTAAAAATTGTTGATAATGATGATATTTTAGCACATAACTTCAAATCCAATTGTTTATTGGTCTTGTAACACTAACATCGGTCTTAATATATCTTGTGTGTGACATTTTGGTCAATCGCCATTCATCCGACTTTATATCATACCTCTCACGTGTTAAACAACGAAATATCTGTGATACAAATATTACACTGGACTATTAATAATTTCTTACTGCTTTCTTGGCAGTGACATGTGACAGAAAAAAAATAATTAAATACTATATTTCACACACACTTAGTTTGATATCCATTATGGGATAATCAACAGAAACATAAAACACAATCAAACTAGTCCAGTGTGATTAGATAGGAATATCTCTGCTACTGTTGTATGGTTGCCAGAAATTTCGTAAAATATAGAATTTGAAAAATTATACGTTAATTTCAATACTGTTTGTTTGTATCGGTTACAACGTGTCAAGCTTGTTCGTTTGTTTGTAATTAAGCACAAAGCTACACGGGTATCGAAATCCGGATTCTAGCGTTGTAAGTCCGCAGACATGCCGCTGGGGGGCACGTGTTAAGCAGATATTTAACTGAACAGTTTTCCTTAGTATTGTGGTGTTAGAAGGAGTAAATAACTGTTAAAAAAATTCACAATTTGCTTTTTCTTAATACGATAATAGGATGTTGGTAAAAGTAACCAAAAAATATATATAATGTAAATACTGTTTAAAACTGGGTGGAAAATAAATTACGATATTTATTGTCTCGATTTTATTGAGTTTTCCTACTTAATTCACTGATTTTTGTTTTATTAACTTCAAGTAATCGAAGATTGCAAGAGGCAACTTGATCCTTCAAACATGAGGACACATGAAAATGAGATTTATTGTAAGCACTGCTACTACAAGCTTATTGTAAACGGTTTTCGGAGTGGAGTTCCAGAAATTTGATTTTCGTTAAAACTAGGGTGTGTACAACCTGTATTCATAAGATATTGATAAGTTGTTGTTTTTTTAAGCCTCTGTTGATACTAAGGATTATGGTTTAGGTATATTTTTATGTGGGTGTTTTTCAAGCATGTCACTAAGATCATTGGTAAGAAACAATCTCGACTGAATATGTTTTTTCCATGTTGCTTTTAATTGTTTAAATAATAATAAAAATGCATTTTGTATCCATAATTTCTCTGCTATAAGTCACTGTCAGTAAGTTTTTTTTATATCAGAAAACAAGATCTGAGTTGGACTGTAAAGCCAGTTAAAAATCTATCTGAAATGATAATTATAATCAGTACGAAAATAATGTTATTTTAATATATCTAAAGAGATGGTGAAGTTATGTAACAAGTATATGTTTAATATTTGTGACAAAAATCATGCTAGGTTGTTGGTGTAATAACTAACTTACGTTTCTAGATGTCTTAGTTGTAAACATTTTAAATGAAGTGTAGAAAGAAACAAATTACACTAACCACTCTAAGGATTGATTCAACTTGATATGTCTTTCAAACCCGAGAACAGGATCAGAAGGCAAAGATGTCACGGGTGTTCAATTCCTTTTACAGATGAGTAAAGATTCTTTCATCGCCTCCTTGAAGGGAATTTACTCGTACAGGAACAGCCAGATGATGTGAGGAACCATCTGTTTAATGGTTGTAATTAGGAATGGTGCTTTGAACGGAGTTTATTAAGACTTTAACAACCATTTTGAAACTTTTCGCTGGTGCCACCAGACTCTTTTTTTTTTGGTGGCCAATAAATGTCGTAAGTACGAGACAGGTAACGTCACTGCCTAGCATGAACTGGATACTTTTATGAACATGGCTTTGCCATCAATGTCCCGTACATAACGCTTTTGGAACGAGTTTTATGGTCGAATTGCACAACTACCTCGTATACCAAATACACTGTATCAGCCAAAATTAATATTTCCTAGAGCTTAATCCCAAATATCATACAAAGTGTGTGATGATTTTATAGAGCTTAAATGGTAGCTCGGGTACCAGGCTGTAACAGATTTGAACCTTCTTAAGTGGTAGCTCGGGTACCAGATTTGATCCTTCTTAAATGGTAGCTCGGGTACCAGGCTATAACAGATTTGAACCTTCTTAAGTGGTAGCTCGGGTACCAGATTTGATCCTTCTTAAATGGTAGCTCGGGTACCAGGCTATAACAGATTTGAACCTTCTTAAGTGGTAGCTCGGATACCAGATGGTAACAGATTTGAACCTTCTTAAGTGGTAGCTCGGGTACCAGACGGTACCAGATTTGATTCTTCTTAAATGGTAGCTCGGGTACCAGGCGGTAACAGATTTGAACCTTTCTAAGTGGTAGCTCGGGTACCAGATTTGATTCTTCTTAAATGGTAGCTCGGGTACCAGACGGTAACAGATTTGAACTTTTTGGCTGCTTGCAACAAGGACATCGTGTCAGTCACATTTAATCGATATATAAATGTTGTATCGTTTAGTACTGACCATATCTGATGAAGACGTATAGTATGTTCCCACCTATTACTACTCAAGTAACATATATTTTTTTGTTGTTAAGTGCAAAGCTACACAGTGGGCCATCTGACTTCAGACTTCCCGCTGAGCCCTCTCTCATGAAGTATAATTATAAAGTTACCTGTAGAAAGTAATAGAAACCGTTGACAGGTAAATTGTCTCGTTTTGTAGCCCATCTAGTATGAACCGACGGACTTGTTACAAGTGTAAATAACTCTCAGCCATCAACATGTATGCGTGTTCAGAGAGAATGAAAAGTCATAGAACGGTCGTTAAAACTACTATATATATGTTAGGATATAATGATTTGTTAACAGTATTTCAATCCACACCACTATAAAAATGTTAGATAACATCTTAGTTACAGCTGTGAATATGTGATTCACGTGTATACCAATAACCTTGCCAACTTTTATATGGGATTCACGTGTATACCAGTAACCCTGCCAACTTTTATATGGGATTCACGTGTATACCAGTAACCTCGCCAACTTTTATATGGGATTCACGTGTATACCAGTAACCTTGCCAACTTTTATATGGGATTCACGTGTATACCAGTAACCTCGCCAACTTTTATATGGGATTCACGTGTATACCAGTAACCTTGCCAACTTTTGGTTGATAGAAGTAATACAACACTGTGTATCTTTTATCAAAAATTCTTTTTTTTTTTTACAGGTATTCTCCAGAATTTCAACGGGAAAATGAAGAAGCCAATAATCGTTTCCAACGAAATTATATAACAGAAAATAGTATATGACAGTAATTATATAACAGAAATAGTATATGACAGTAATTATGTAACAGAAAATAGTATATGACAGTAATTATATAACAGAAAATGGTATATGACAGTAATCATATAACAGAAAATAGTATATGACAGTAATTATATAACAAAAATAGTATATGACAGTTTATCTTACAAATTTAAAACACAAAATTATTTCACATATTCCTAATTTTAAAAAAGTGACTTCACGTTGAAACGATGTGTAAGTCAAGTTTAAAATCATAACGTTTGGTTGTAATTAATAAAATCCAGCTCACTGAATGTGGGTTTGATGAGATTGTGTATTTTGTATTTATCTTAAAGTTTGTAACACTATAAAGGTTACATCTCAAACGTATGAAATATATGCAATAATAATAATCTTTATTAGTTCTTTGTAACATTTAATGTTTATTTAAAGGAGATCACGTTTCTCGTATTGATTGGATACTAGATTAACATTGGTTTGTTATACAGAAAGTGTTTAATCAGATATTGTAATCAACACTGTTATGTATGGCTACCAATACAACGAAACGGTAAGTTTATAAAAAAAATGAAAGGATGTTTATGTGTGGTACGCAAATATCACAATTTTAACCAATCTATAGATGAGAAATTGGAGATATATTTATTCAAATATATTATAGAGGTTTGGGGGGTTTTTCTTCACTATAGATAACTGTATATAGTGTACTCAGGCCTGAACCCGTCATTGAAAGCTTGGCCGTAGATCAGTGTGTTTAAATATATTATATGTATACACTTCCTTAAACACTGTCTGTGCCGGATTTGCTCTATAAACACTTAATAAATGTGGTAACGTTTAAGTCTTTTGAATGACGACCAGACTGTGGTTTGAATTAAGGGCTTTAAAAAATTCTGTAGCATTTTACAGTAAACTATGTCCTTGAATACATAGACAATCACGTACTTACAAAATTGTGGCGATCGGATATGTTAGTCATTGTCATGATTAATAGCCAAGAGAATCACCTAAGTTTCATCATTAATTACCAATAGGCCTAAAGTTTGTAACAAAAATCACGTAAAGTGCAGTTTAAACCGTGGATTTTAAAATATACTGATGTTTTAGTAAATTATTTGTCTCTGGTAAAACTGATGAGTTTTGTTATTAACATAGGCCCTAATGGGCGGTGACTGATGGGAGACAAAGGGCAGGTTTCAAATGCTATTTTTACCCTCCTCTGATGTTAAAACAGAAATAAACAAGTCAAGAGAGATATGAAAGAAAAAAAAATCTCCAGATTATGCGATTTTTAACAAACTTTCGGCCTATTGGTTTCTAATGCTTTGCCAGCTTTCAGCACTAAAACCGCTACTTTTAACCATTAATTATATGGTATTTTCTATTTCTAATTACTTGATACTAATCACTAACTAATTTATATCCTCTCTTTCAGGAAGTATTGAGAAGGATTGTTTCTGTGTTGTTAGCAACTGGAATTCAATCCTATATTTTTTTATTGAAAGTCTGATGTACTATTCCTCTGAATTAAGTAAACTATTTTAATGTTTCTTAAGAAGGTTATCTAGGTTTTGCTGACTTCTATGCTAGGTTGACTGAGTGTGATATCAATTAGGCGGATATAGAAGTCTTGTTTTTGTGTTATTCCATTTTATTCTCTTATGATGATAGGCCAACTAATCATACTTGTCATAAGACATTAGCATTAGGTCTATTATATTTTTAACACTAAATATTTTATACATTCTCTTAAGGTTTTACAAGAAGAGTATATAGTAGTATTCCAACCACATTATAATTATCACATCCATTTCCGTTCAATACAGAGTACATCAAGCCTGCTGGATTACATGAACATAGTAGTGGTCGAAACACTATTTATACAAGACATTTTTTTTTACAACAACTCTTATGTGTAAAGACCTTTTCTAAACTAGCGAAGAATATTATAATTAATTATACTTTCATAAGACATTAATATTAGGCCTATTAAATAATTTACGAAACTCGTCGTCTGCGCTGGATATGGCGGACAACGAGTTTCGTAAATTATTCATATTTGTGAAAAACCCTAAGGAACTGAATGAAGACTAGTGTTATTGATGTATTAGGCCTAATACTAATATCTTATGACAATTATAATTAATTGTAATTTGCTTCTGTACATTTTACGTTTACTTATCAAGATTGCACGCCTTCAAGTAATCAAAGTATACAATGGTTTTGTATATTGTTTTGGTACAGAAAAGTAATAAATTAATTTTATAGATTTTCTGCTTTTAAAATAGATGGCTACTGCATGGCGTTATTAGGCCTGTGGTAATATTAGTGGTGTTGTGGGCGACTTTTCCTTTTCATTTAGATATTCATTTTTTTCTAGAGATAGTCTTGAAGTCACGTAATAACTGCTGGGTAACATCTAGAATTTTCTTGAAAATTCAAGGAATCGCTTCACTTGAACAATGTATGTTAGACGATAGTTAGCCAGTTAGTAACACACCGTAATTCAGAGTTTGTGTTTCCAATGGAGTATTGGAGATTTGAGAAGTATGGTAGGATGAGAAAATAGGGAAGTAAATGACTGTTTGGCATTATTTGTGAAGTTAGGCCTATCATTAGTTAGTGAAACGGTGTAAGTGTGGAACGTGTTGTCGAAAAAATAAAATACTTTGCATTACTTTTTTACAAAATAATTAAACATATCTCGTCCAACAATAGAAACTATTGAAACACTAGTGTCAGGGGTAGGATTGTTATTTGAGAAAAATAAAATCAAAACTGAACTTCAAAATGATGACATGAAAAAATGTTCTGGAAATGATAATCAAGAAGAATGGGCCAGAAATTCTATCTCCCTCCCCCCAAGAAAGACATAAGGTCTACAAAAGAATTACAAACAAAAACAATCAAAGTGTTAGATCATTTCCAAGGTAAATGAATGGTGTAGCTATTTTCATGCTACACACTTAAAAGTGCTAGCTTTGACAACACTAAGCATCTTTAAAGAACAATGCTCAGTTGGCACTGAAATTTTAATTAATTAAAGTTATAGATAAACAACTACAAAACATCATTCAGGAATTATGGGATCATCAGATGAGATAGTGTGGAAATATATTGTCAGAAAGTGTTTCAAATAGTTAGTTGTACATTCTTTGGTCTAGAAGGTCCTGTACACCGCAGAACTATTACAGCATTAAAGGTTGAAGTTCCAGTGAAAACCTGGAAGGCAGTTATTAAATAACCACGAAGTGAACTATATATATACCTGGACTTGTTTGAAATAATGTTACTTCTAGTGAATTAAAAAAAGGAAAGTACAAAACAACATCAAAGGATGATTATAAAAGGATCAATTCCATAGAAACAAACATAAATATCAAAATAAAACATCTAGAAACTAAATGAAAACGCAAGGATGAAATCAACCACACCTTTCTCCCTGTACCTGCTCAAAATTCTTACCTCAAACAACATTAACAACGTAATATCTAAGAGGAACATCCATTTCATTTATGCCTGTTACTCCTACTATCATCTAAAACTGCAGGACCTTCCTCAATTATTCCATCTACACAAGTATCTAATCAAGTTATGGAATTTAGCAGGCCAATTGAGGAACATTGTCCAGTTATCACAGAAGGTACCATGGCAAGTAATAACTGATGAAGTAGTAAATAATAAACTATTCATTTTACTTGAACAAATATTATAGAAAAAAAACAACTTGTAGTCAATCTTTCACACATTTGAAAACAATAATCAATACATAAGTTGTATTTACTTAATTTAATACAAATGAAATCATTACTGTTTACAATTTCCTTAATTTGCACTCGTAGCCCAAGAAGGAAAATCATAATGGTTTTAAACAAAATAGTGGAAGTATTTCTCCCTATAGACATGATGGTTGGTTCTCCTCCTAAAACAGATATCTCACAACCTTTACAAGAATGTGTGCATTAGTTAATGTGTGGATAGCTGGGAAAGGCCACCATATGACAAGTGTTATGTATTACAAATTCAAATAGCCTAAAACTGAGTTAAATTGTAATTTACATTTAGTAGTTAAATAAGTGCCGATATATATCCAAGTTATGATATTTGTCAACATGATTGATACACACAGTTTTCTTTTATATATATATATATATACGAATTTATTTTTATTAAAATGGTTATTACAAACAATGATTTGTATACAAAAGTTTTACAAACAGTATTGAGTCTTTTTTTTTGGTCTGGAACTTCCTTGATGTCTTATCGAGGGTTCACGATGAGCGAATTAATTTACAGTTGATGTTGGTATTATACAATGCACTTAATAGGGGAATAGTTAGATCTGTATTCTTCACTGCTCACACGCTGATTTTTTACACCGATGAAGTTAGGTAATGTTTTCGTAAAAGTATTAATGTCCGGTGTGAATCCACTGAAGTTAAATGGTTTGTAATGTTCGAAATTTATAAATGTTCCTGGTCAAATATCTGAAGTTACCCGATTAATAATCATTATAACAATCAAAGTTATAGCTTCCGAAGTTTATAATATACCAACTATAGCGAACCAATAATAGATACTATGTTTTTGGCGCGTCTCGTTGGTTATATATATATGCGTGTGGAGAGTTTCTCGAAATTTTAGCTTACGCAACAGTACTGACGCTACACTGGCGTTTAGGTACACTCATATATTGTTGATTCTTACACTCGAGAATCTTCTACAACTTTAGAGAATAGGCTGGAGTTTCGCGATACAGATTTAACAGTATAAGTTATGTACATTTCTAAATATAAATTTAATTTAAACCAATATCGATATTAAAATATATATATATATATAATAGCAAATCTGTAACATAAGACAGAGAAGGAATTAATGCACCAGAGTGGAGACTGGATATGGGTTTGGTATTTGTTAACAGCATAGAAGCACTTGGCTCTTGTGCTCCAACAAGTCAGTCCATTAACATATGAGTTATAGCTGTGGAGAGGTGTGAAAAAGCATGTAGTACATGCCAACCAGCTGTATCCATACATTATCAACAAACCTCTAGTGAACTAGTTTGACCAGAAATCAGAGGATTAGACTAACGAGTCAGAAGAAGAATG